AAAATCTAGAGGCTTAGGCAACATTTTTCTGGATAAAATATTAAGTTAGCCGTTTTATAAAATCGGCTCAAAATGAGCCGTTTAACAACACTACTTAGATCTAATAATGGTCAAATGCTCAATTATAATCGTAGGCTTCTCATGATCAAGATGTCCCTGATATAGGATCATTTCAATCCACTTCTAAATAACTGAGAAATTTATTTGTTAATAGCGTCATTCCATGCCCAAAATATTAAATATATCAATTTACATTATATATATAAAAAAATCTCATAATTTATAATTCAATTCTTACATTATTTGTGGTATACATTTCTTCTCGTATCAAAATCTAAATTATTATTTTTAAAAAGAAGTTTCCAAAAAAGTAAACCTAGTTACATTTTTTTTTGAAATGGGTGCAATTTGGAAAAGGAAATGTGCCCAATTTAAAGGAATGCATTGCTTGCGATTGCAACGTTCAATTTGTGCGCACTGTAATTCCTTATTTTATCTATAGATTAATATAATTTTTTTTATACCTTAATTAATGTAATAAACCGATCTCTGTAATTGTAATTATGATCACAAACCAAATGATCAAAACTATAAAAATTTTTGGCATTAACCTGATACCGGCATTAGATCCTTTTCTAGAAAATATTTGAGTGTATGTGCCAAGTTGGATTATAATTTTAGCCATTTCAAAAAAAAAATACACCATCATGATTTAAAATTGAAAAAATAAAGAAATAATGACTACACCACACAAGACGAGATGGGTATGCTTGCTGCAAGATCATCATTGAAATTGAAGGGGTGGAGGGAAGGAATAAGGGGTTGTGAAGACGATATTGACATTTTGAATAAAATGGAATAGGATTAGGGGAAAATAAACATTATGAGCAAGGGGAATGAGGTAAAAGAAAGACTACTTTGATTTAAATTTCTTTTGTCGCTAATTTTGATTTCGTAGGGGTATAGTATGTGAATGGGAGGGGGGGGGTACTATTTGGGTTAGGGAAGGGTAAAAATTTTGATTCGGAGCTCTATTATTAATTATATAAGTTAAACAGATTTCCAAATTCAGATCGTTCCCATTTAACGGGAGAGCGATTTTTTTTTAAAAAAATAGTCATAATTTTGACATTTTATATCACTACTCTTTTAACTTTTTATGGTATTTTGTTTTCTGATAAAACATTATATTTAAAAAAATACACCACTTCCGCCTTCCGCAACGCTTATTTTCTATTCTCATTATTACGTACTGCTCCATGAAATAACAAAAAAGAAATGTCATGATATACGAAAAAATTTGAAATTAATGTTAAAAATAAACACTTGTTCTCATTTCTGTGGCTCTATCGAACTATGATTTTTGCACATAAATTCCTCATCAGCTGTCCACGCTTATATCTCATCTCAATTATTTCCTCTCCCAGGCTTTTAAGACTCCTTTACTGGTTTCTTAAATGCACCCAATAAAATTGGATATCTTCCCTAAACAATAATAATCGACTCCTCCTATACCACTCATGAATTTCAATGACGATCTTTGTGATTCGTTCTCGTAAATATTAATTTAAAACTTGAAAAAATATTCTCACTAGAAACCATCTCACAAATGTATATACAATATATTTGCAATAATCCAATAATTTGAAAGAAAAATAAGTTAAAGTGAACTAATTTTTAAAAAAATAAGCAACCTGACCTAAGATTGCACCATCATCCCCAGAAGGGTCCCGAGAGGCATATAAATCCACATGTAAAATAAATCATGAAAATTTAAAGAATTGATATATAAAAATTAGTAACTTGATAATAGTTTACTACAATTCAAAATATGCAGCTAGTTTACCTAGTTAAAAAAAAATATAACTGGTCAGTTTATTTTAATTAAGGAAAATCTTTAATTTCTAACGAAATTCGTATTAAAAACATCTCAAAGAATAATAAGAATGTAAGGCTTTATAACAATCAATCAAAAAAAAATTAAAAATAGAGAAGAATTTTATAAAGATATTGATACTTATTTAATAAACAGCTTATTAATATTAAGAGTATGCAAAAATAGCACCACTACTAAGCAAGAAAAAGATTAGCTGAAAGCGAGATATAAAATATTAAATATATACTAGTGCTATTACGCTATCTGGTGGATGTTAATTCATTGAATTTTAAGACGATAAAACAACTTTTTTGAAAAAAAATAACCAATAATGTTTCATTTTTATTAATTAATAATAAATTCGTCATTTGCAGCTATCTTGGCATTATTAAATTTTACTATATAACAGAAAATGGCGCATAATAATTATTAAAAATATGATAAATAAAGAAATGAGCGGGAAACACATATTTTAAATATTCATAACATTTATAATACTATTCCAGATCCAGAATCTTTCCCAACTTTAATTTTATTAAGTTGGTCTTTGAAGTTTTTAATTTTTATTATATCCTACTGTGAGAATTCTTTCTCCAATATTAAATAAATGAAAGAAAGCATAACTCATACTCATATTATATTTATACTTAGATCTAGTGTTGTTAAACGGCTAACTCAATATTGCATCCAGAAAAATATTACGCAATCCTCAGGATTTTGCTCATAGAAGGAACAAAGGTCTAGAGATATATTATCAAACCCTCGAGGCTCAGGCAACTTTTGGCGAAAAATATTGAGTTAGCCGTGCCGTTTAATAACACTACTTAGATCTAATAATGGTCAAATGTTCAATTACACTTATGATTGTGATGACCCTGATACCGGATCACTTCATCTATTTCTAAATAATTGAGAAATATTTGGTAATGGCGTCATTCCATGCCCAAAATATTAAATATATCAATTTACATTATATATATATATAAAAAAAATCTCATTACTTATAAAATCAATTCTTACATTTTTTTTTGGTATTACATTTCTTCTCGTATCAAAATCTAAATTATTATTTTATAAAAAGAAGTTTCCAAATAAGTAAACCTAGTTACATTTTTTTTTGAAATGGGTGCAATTTGGAAAACGGAAATGTGCCCAATTTATACGAATGCATTTGAAATGCATTATTTGTGTTTGCGACGCAGCGTTTGAAACGCGTCAATTTGTGCGCACTATAACTCCTTAAAAATATATATTATTTTTATATCTTAATTAATGTAATATCAATATAAAACCGATCTATAATTATTGTAATGATGATTCACAAACCAAACGAGCAAAATTAATAAATATTTTTCGTGTCGAACCTGATACCGGCATTTCTAAAAAAAAATATTTGAAATAAAGTATGTATCTACCAAGTTGGATTAAAATTTTGGCCATTTCGAATAAAATAATCCGATAAATAATGATACCAGCCGCATCGAGATGGGTATGCTTGCTGCAAGATCATCATCGAAATTGAAGGGGGGTGGGGAAGGAATAGGGGGTGGTGAAGTATTGACATTTGAATGGAATGGGTTAGGGGGAAATAAACAGGAAGGGGAAAAGGGGATTTGGATTTCTTTTGCCACTAATTTCGAATTGATAGGGGTATAGGAGATGGTTAGTGAAAAAGAAGGGGTGAAGGGGAAGGTATTATTGGGTTAGGCTAGTTTTGTGACTCGGAGCTCTATTATTAAATATATAAGTTATACACATTTCTAAATTCAGTTTGTTTCCATTTCACGGGAGGACATTTTCTAGCCCACCTCTTTCAACTTTTTTAGTATTTTGTTTTCTGACAAAACAATAAATTTAAAAAAAATATTCAATCCCTAACCCCCCCCCCCCCCTTTCCTCAACGATTATTTTACCTTCCCATTAATACGTACTGCTCCATGAAATAACAAAGAGGAAATGACATTCACAATACAGGAAAAAATTTGAAATTAATTTTAAAAATAAACACTTGTTCTTATTTCTGTGGCTCTAGAGAACTGATTTTCGTACCAGCTGTCCACGCTTGTATCTCATCTCAATTATTTCCTTTCCCAGGCTTTTAAGACTCCTTTAAAAAAATAACCAAAAATATGGTTCCAAAAAAAATAGTTAACAATGTGGCGTTATTAAATCTATAATAACAAGAGGTGCATTCTATATATATAGAATTTGATTAAGTTACTTATATATATAAGATACTTTTCCATGTGGCGATCTTATTTTAGCCCGATACAAAACTGTGTTAATAAAGTTGAGATAAGAAAAAAATACGCGGAAATTTGCAAATTATATACATGAATATTTTATTTCAATTTTCGGTAGAAAAATTATTGTGGTATTAGTTTCCATCTCTTCTTATTGAGATGAGAAACGTTTGTAATTTTAACTAAATATTCTCAGATCGACATCTTCAGAAAATAAAAAAAATGGACGCTATAGGGAAAAAATTCATATGAAAAATATATAAATTGATTGAATGCTTTAAAATGAAATTTAAAAAAAAATAATACATTTGCTCCAGAATTTTACCATATTAAATAGGCCAATCATAATCTCGATAAGTATCTACAATGAACTACGTTTTTATTGGGCCATAATTAAATTTAACAATGATGGGTTATTATGAGTAAAACGCTTGATTAACTAAATTAATTGATAATTAGAGTTTAGAACCTGGGCAAATTATTGGTTCAGCTTCATGAAATTTTAAAAAAGTAGATTCCCATTCCAAATGGATTCTGCTTCCGGTTCGTATATATTTTGTTAAAGGGCAGGTTTTAACAATCGCTCGTGATAAACTACAAATAATACGCAATATTTAAAAGAATGAGAATTAAAACTTATGTTCCAGTAGTCCCAATGACATGTAATATGTAAAAAATCACCCAAAAGGGATTGATGTCAGGAAGGACATTAGATTGTCAAAAATGGCTACTACAAAATTCGATAATGATTCTAAAGTTAGTAAAAGTATAAAATTATATGCTCCAATCAGAACACAATTGTTAAAACAAATATATATTAGTTGCTAAGACAAAAAATTATTGTGACAATGAAAAATTATCGCGACAATATGGACGATGAGATTTATAGAAATATTTCTAAAAAATAATACATTTAATAAATGTTAAAAAAATAAAATAAAATTTATAAAGACGAGAAAACAAAAAATATTCTTTAAAAAATAAATATTTGTTTAAAATAAACTAAAAGGAGATTTTTGTAAAATATAAAATTCAATTTTCCACATATATATAAAATACAAGACATTTTTTTTTATGAAATAAATCTTTTTATAATTTAGGCCTAGGATAATGGTCTTAAAATTCTCGATCGGTAAATATCATCGGGGCTGTGAGAGTCCAAAGGTATAAAAATATGCATACCCAGCTAGAAGATATTTTAATCCAAACTGAAGCAGTATTCGTTGTCAACTTGGTGATATCGGTTTCTTGGGGGCTTTTTTTTAAAAAAAATGAATTTTGCAAATTAAATCAAATTTTCTAAGTAACACACATACTGAGGGGTTTAGAAAAATTTTAAAACTCGAATCATTTGAAGTGCGCCATTTTTTTAGGTGTGAAAAGACCCGATTCTTTTAGGGATTTTATTTCAACATGAATAAGAAATACTTACCCTTTTAATTTCAGAATCACTTTAATGGCAAACTTTGGAACTTGTTCATAGAACCTAGGTATCAGAAGTCACGGGCGGAATTTTCTTAAATATTTTAAACATCTGGCGGGTGAGCCGGAAGATCAAAAAAATTTTTTAAACAATTGACGAGCGAATAAAATCATGGGAGGCGAAATTTTACAACAAAGGGTAAGACTGGCGTTAGAGTTAAAACCGCCCAATTGCAGACTTCTAGTAAGTATACCCTATAAAATTTGGTAAAGGTCTTTTAAATTTTACAAAAAAAGGCACAGTAAATGAATGATACATGATATTATAGTGTTATTGTGCAGCTAACCATAACGAAACCTAAAATGTCAAAGCTTAATTTTTAGGGTTAAAAAAAACGAAGCTTAATTAGGTTTAGCCTAAAATAGGCGTTTCAATACTATCTCGCTTTTGGTGTTAAATAAAATTTGGCTAAAGCTGTAACTAAAATTTAAATTATGATTATTTTTTAGATATAGATGTTCCAAATGGTCATATTTTTATAATAATAAATATTTTTTATTTTAAATCCTGAAAAAGGTGATTTTTAAAATTTAAAAAAATTTAATTTTTTTTTAACAAAATGATCATTTAGGACATTGGTCACCTTTTACACTATTCATTAGATTCCTATTTAATATTTACACTATTTCAGCCAAAAATAATTTTTTATAAACCGGACATTGGTTTCCTTTTATATAATGTGTTATAAAAAATCTAATAATTTAAATTCAAGCCTATTTTGGGGCTAATTAGTTTTAGTCAAAGTTTACTGAAAAGGGTAATTACGTTTTAGCGGATACTTATTGAAAAGCTTAATTAAGTTTAATCACTTTTTTTAGGCTAGGTCTAATAGATCTTAGCCATCTATAAAGTCTAAAGCTAATTAGGCTTAGCGGATTTAGTCAGTCTATTAAGTAGAACTAAAAAAGTTTTAAAAATTTTGCTAAAAAATGGTGTCCGTTAAGCATAGCCCTGAAATTTTCGAAACTCTTATGATGTACATATAGTATATATATATGTATGCGTTGACAAGTATTTTGAGAATCAATTTTATATTACCTATACCAATTGGTAAGGGTCATCATAATATACAGGGAGGCCAGGGCAAACATAAAGTGAAAAAATGAATAGCTATAGGCAACGTCGGTTTCTTCGTTGTCCCACACTTTCTGCCCTTTAGATCGGTTATCCTCGTAATCGACTGGTGGGGCTTTAAAAAATAATAATAATTAAATATTATGGATGGTATAATCATTGGATGAGATATGGCATATGAAGTATCTTAAATATCTATGTTCCGTTACCAGGATCTTCAGTGGCAGTGTCAGATCTTAAAGTGATTCTTCCCATTTGGCTAGTGGTGGCAGTTCTTAAGCTGCGATTTATTTTTGTGAAAAACAATCGAGAATAAAATTAATTTTTATTTATATGTTTATACTTTATGATATTTAAAAATATCTACTTACTTCACAAGGTCGAGAAATTTTTAAGAAGGTTAATATTGAGGTTTAAGTAAATTTTATTCGCCTATGCAATTATATATTTTTCAAAATTTTATCTTTCTTTCCGAATTTTCAAAAGCAATAACCTGGAATACAATACGGCCAGAAACCAGATGATCAAACTGACAATGCTCTGCGCGTCGAACCTGGTTCCGGCGTTAGTTTTGGGCGAAAAATCCTTGATATTCAATATGGATGCTATATTTGGATTACATTTTTGGTCTTTCAAAAAAAATAAAATAATAAAAATTAACACATAAATAAAATCGTATCGACTTCAATATCGTTTTTATATAATAAGTCGATCCATTTTATAAGGAAGTGGGAAAAAAAATCAACCTAGTATAAGTAAATAAATCTGTTGATATGTAATTGACAGATATAGACGTTTTTAAAATGACTTCGAATAAGAGATAGATAACAATTTTATTCTTTGTTCTTGATCATATAATTGACTGATATATATGGGAAATAAAAGATTTTGTTGGGTTGGAGTGGTATTTTAAACAATATACTTATATATATAATATTAAACAATATACATTATATTTATTTTTAAGAAAAATAAATACAAACATTGTTTTAATTTTCAACCCCCCCCCCCCCCCATCAACTTTAATAAAAATTTGGTTTAATAAAAAAATTTAACTATAAAATTATTATAATTAATCGTTTTTATCTATTATCCATACCAGCATACCTGGGGTCCAATAAACCCCAATAAAGTACTACACTTAGCACCAATAGGTCATGAATTCCTGAGATATCAGGGGTAAAAAAAAGATATGCGATTCCACCAATTATTTTCTTTTCCAAAAAATGCTAAAAATAAAAACCCGAATTGTCATTTGTCGGAAGTTTTTATTTTTGGCCACAAAATATAAAATTAATTATTTTAAAATTATATTTGTTTTGATTTTTTTGTAAAAATAAATTATAATTTTTTTTACAAACTTTTTCAAACACCTAAAAATTAATTCAGAATTATTTTGCAACTATTTTAAATTTCCCGCGGATTTACAATCATGTGATTCCTATCAACCAATTAGATATGTTTTTTTTAAACTAATAGAATTTTAGATAGGCGTACAAAAAATAAAAATTAATAGGGAAAATTGATACATAATTTTCTGATTAACATAAATAAAATACTAAGGAAACCACCCTTATCCTTATACATGGAAATGAAATTCGATATAGATTAAATTACATTTTCTTGTATTTTTTAAATCCAAAAAAAAACGATAATTTCAGATATTTAAAAATCGTTTATATATATATAATTTTTTTTGACTATTACACCATCTGTTGGATATTAATTCACTAAATTTTTAAAAATTATAAAAGTACGTATAATAAAAAAAGGATATCATTTTTTTAAATGTAAATATGCATCTGTAGGAAGGAAGTAAGTATGTAAGGAAGGAAGGAAGGAAGGAAGAACAAAGATACCTTTCTATCTTATAAAAAAAAATAACTTCACAGGACAATTATATTCAAAAACTACGAAAAAGAGATATCATAAAATAGTCTCTACATCTTGATTAGTAATAGCAACCCAAACGGCAGAAAAAAAGTGTGTAATGGTTCTAGCCGTTATCAAACTTACCGTTCAAACTGGACTCTGACTTAAACCCCTAGCTTTAAAAAAAATTGATCTATTTATGCAGATAAAAAATTTTTTTATACCAGATACTGTGGGCCCGGTCCTAAGCTCGGGTAAACGAGCCGAGCCGTATTTTAATATTTGTAAATATAACCGGGCCGGAGCTGAAAATATAAAACCCGGGCTGGGCTGAACATAAAAAAATCAGGACCGATTTATAAAAAATCAATAATGGTTATAAAAATCTAATTTTTTGGCCAATAAGTCGAAGGAAATCATGAGCCGCCTGAAATAAACCAAGTGATAAAATATAATGGTGAGCACAAAATGAACGTATCAACGCGGCGTTTCATAAACGCGAATAAAAAAATACGTAAACGCAAACAAAAAAAAAGGCTTGCTCTTTATTTAATTAGCAATTTTTTTTTTTGTAATATCATAATTCCGTAAGCTAAAAATATTATCGTATCAATAAAATTATTAATACTTTTTAGAAGGTGACGTAATTCATGCCATTACTTTAAAATTTAAAAAAACGTCTCAAAAAAAACGCGAGATATTTCGTTTTTTCTAAAATAAATAATTTTGAATTGCAAAAAAGGAAATGTTACCAATTTAAAATGAGTGCTGTGCTGAAACGATGTGTGCAATATAACGATAACAACAATAATGTGGTCTAAGACACTTCTCACGAACTACCGATAAATAGGGCATACCATTTATTAATTTGTTAACAACTTATTTGCAAAAGGTGTTTAAATGCTTAATCTCGACTAAAATAAATACAACTATTTTCTCGAGAGATTAACAGCTGATATAATAATTGGATTGATTTTAGGATTGTCGCTTTAGAAATCCAGCATCACTCAAATTTTTGGACACCTTTCATAAATGTTGATTACTGTTTGCTTATTTTTGTTTTTTTTAAGGCGCATAGAGACTTTTTAGGGATTCGAACCTATGGAACTGCAACTCTGAACAATATTTATTTATGTTTGAAAAATTTAGAAAACCTGGTTCGTTGGACATGGCTGACCAAGTCAGGTACATTACGTAAAGGGTTATAACGGACGATTGCAGCAAACCGGACCTGGGTTGAACTAAAAAGGTGAATAAACGATTTGAATTTTGAAATATAATGGAAAATTAATGGAAGAGAAAGCGTGACAATATGGAGGGAAGCGGAGGGCGTTTGGTATTTTCTTTAAAAGGTCCAATGATGGTATATATATATATATAAAAATTCTTAAGCAAAATACTCAGCACGAGATATATTAGTGCTCTAATATTAAATTTTGATTTTATTTTCTCCTTTTATTTCCCAATACTCCAAAAAAAAATGGACATTATTTATAATCTTTTGTACCTTCTTGTATCTTTGGCAGTATTGAAATCACAGAAAAAATGATGCACAGGATGAGGTTAAAACTGATGAAGAATTGATGAAGTTGGCAGCCATTCTTGAAAGAAAAATTGTTTAATAAAATCCAAAATATATATTTTAAAAAATACATCGAAGCTCGCCTATAAAAACATTTTGGAGGTTGTGAGTAGGGTTAGCAGAAGGAAAAAAAATTTATTCGATTTAAATCACCCCATTTTTAAAATCAGTGTAATTTAAATCAATATTTTAAATAAAATTTTATTTACTAAATTAGATAATTTTTGTATGAAAAATACTAAATAGTACTGATAATCATTACAGTGAAATATCTGAAACCGGTTGGGGTTCAGGGTTTGCAGTCCAGAAAAAAATACTTCTAAAATTTAGTAAAAAAATAACAGAAACATCAGTTTTTTTAGCATTTATTATGAAAATAATTTTATCTTTATAATTAAGAATAATAAAATACAAATTTAAAAAAATAATATTCTATTTGATTTTTTTTTATTAAATTTTATATTTTATAGGAGAAATCATCATATCTTACAAAATCTAGATGCTCAAAAAAAAGTCAAAAGATCAATTTTGATTGGTTATAAAATTTGTAATCGACCAATCAGTTCCGTTATAAAAAGGACATATTTTATTTTACTAGCTATCATCTGCATGATGTTTCCATTAATATGGCATCGAACGATTTACTCGTTATTCCCTATGAATCTGTCAAATCAAAGATTTTAGCCAAAAGAAAATATCATCAAAAGCCGCATTCATAGTGGGATCCGATCCGACAAGATTTAACAGCTGATTGATTTTTAAAAATCGTTTACGAGAACGAGATTTTTTTTTATATAGTATTAATTTTATCCTAAATTCTATACACGATAATAACCTAATAAAATATTGGTTTTAATAAAGAAAAATTGATTGCTTCTCATATAAACCGATTTAAAAATCGATCAGCTGTTATATCGTGTTGGAGCGGGTCCCACTATGAATGAGGCCTAAAATCTTCGTGATTTGGCATATGCACGATAGATGGCTGGCACCGCTTTTTGAACCAAATCTCTAGGTTTTGGACTAAAATCTTTTCATCTTAGGACGTTTTTAAAAATCGACATCAAGTTTTTTTTTTGACGACACTTACCTATAAAGACATTTATTCCTATATAATGGTATATTGAAAAATCGGATAGGTATAACATCGATCACTAAAAAAAATATATATTTAAAATGAATATGAGCTGATGACGTGGCGTAATTACGATTCGTTCATTTAAAGGCGTATCAATACAAATCAGCTGACGAGAAACCATCTTGGTTTACCGTACCAAACATTTTTGCGTTAAAATTTCGTGAAAATCCTTTTGTTTTTTAAAAAAATTATAAAAGGAAACCAAAAATGGCGGGTCATCAGGTGATTTGGTTTAGACGCCACTTCTAAACGTACTTTAACGAAAAGAATCGGTATAGGTAAAATTGTATAATGTCAGCATTGGTAATAATGAGTATTTATTTTATAAAATGTACGTTTCCATAATATATAAAGAAGAGAACGACGCACGCTAGGGAAAGAAGGTAGTTACCCAGTGTTGAAAGTAGGAGAGCTTTTAAAAGAAATAATCATTATATTATTAATAGTTTGCGTATTATTTTCCGCCCGTCACAAATAAAAATTCGTGAAACGCCACGATAATTTTCGAGAATATTCTAGAGAATTTTATCGCTTCTTAATACCCTGTCCCAAGCCTCGATAAAAAATTAGCCGAATTCCTCCCCGCAATAAAATAAAACCTACCAATGTACCAAGATTTAGAGTTGGTGCCTTCTTCCATCTTGGTAACCCAGTTCTCGGCCCACCCATGAGCGAAGTCGATAATCAATATGAGTTGGATCAGGATGAATAGAAATCCTCCTATCATGCCAAACACCATCCAAACTTAATTATTGTTTTTTTTGTATACAAATAATAAATATTTTTAAATAAAAGAAGAGTAATGGGCGACGCCATTGGACGCGGATGAATACGAGCCACGATATAAAACATCTGTTCGAGCTAAAAAAAATTAAAAATGATATTTAAAAATTTTATAACTTCTGCCAAATTCGTTCCCGGGAATGTAAAAGGCTCCAACCATTATGCCAATCAATAATAACAGTTTGACACCCCAAAATCTAAAAAAAAATTGAATATAATATTTCAACAAAAGGAATGGGAATAGGAATTCCTACTATAAGGACCTTGCAGCAGACCTTCGGAGTAGAAGATCTGACTACTATAAAGATCTTACAGCAGAACTTCTGAACAAAGGTCTGAAGCAATGACCCTAAGATTATCAAAATAAAGGTGATTTTTTTAAAACCCATTTTGTATGCTGGATCTAAAGTCCCTGGAGGTTTTGACGTTGAACATGATGAGACAAAAGAACACGAAAAACAAGGTTAGGGCGAAGCAGACCCTGTACACCGCCAAGTATCCCACTACTTTCTTGCAGTCGATGTTGAAATGGTTAGAGCATAGCCAGGGTAACTATCATTATTTTTCCCATATAACACGAATAATTTAATGATGAATTTCTTAACTTTCTCCCCTTGGGAAGGAAAACATATTCAATAAAGCCTTCATTATTAAACTCCTTCTCTTTCTAGATGTTCTAACATTTAAGTTTAGTATTAAAAAAAATACCTTTTGGAGTGAATGCTCGACCCCGGGGCTTAGCATGATGCACGCTACGACGATACTGGCCAGTAGGTACACTGCGTACATGATACGAGTCGACGTCGAACTTTTACAAGGCGGACACGCCGTGCAGCACAGATTGCAGGCCGCGCTTCCGCAGCAACAAGCCGCCTTATTGATAGGATAAAAAAAAAGGTTTGCGAATTATTTTATTATAATTACATAGAGTATACTACATATTTAATCGAAATGATAAAGATTCACGGTTGAGGGAGATGGAACAATTTATTGATTGGAGTAGAATTATAATTAGGGGTGTGCCGGATACCGGATAATCCGATCCGATACTAAATTGATAAAGACCTGTTAACCGATAGCGAGAGCATATGATTTTATTCGATATACTAGTATCCATCTATATTTAGTTTAGTATACCATCAAATTAGTTACAAATTTCGTGAACTAATAAATTCGTTTGTCCAACCATGTCAAATAAACTTCCAAATAATAGTTTTTTAAAAAAAAATAATTCAGTTTTCAAATTATGCAAAGAAATTTTTATTCTAATTCGATACATTTTGATATAAAAATAATCGATACATTTTGATATAAAAATAACTTTTGATCCCGAATTTTAGTCAACCAACATTCGTTACAAATTTTAATAAAGTATCTTGGGGCATATACATTTCGTGGCCGAGAATTGGGTAATTAATACCATATCGAATTTCATGTTAAAAATAATTTTTTTTTTATAATGATGCTATTCTTATTTTGGAAAAATAAAATGGCGAAAGATTTATAAAAATATAATATAAGGTTAAACCATACCATCTATTGAAAAAATAAAATCTTAATTTTTTTTCCAAATATTCTCCCTGTAAAATTACAAAAAAAAGTGGAGATGGAACAATAAATTCTCAGTCGACGATTATATAATAATCAGTAAAAAATTTGTCGACTATATTTGTAACTAATTTGGTCACGCTGGGACACAAGGGTAAAAATTTGAATTTCTCTTCCTATTTTAATATTACGTGATATGTTACGTTATTCAAGGATATAAAAGTATAAGTTTTTTTTTAAAAATAAAAATTAGTATTATTTATCCCCTAGGTGGTATGAGGAAGAAAGAAATACTATTTAATAAAAAAAAAGCCAGATGCATAAAATATAATCAAGATAAAAAATTTTATTAGCTTACAAATTAAGAAAAATAGCTGAGGAATTTAAGGTAAAATACAGTGCTCCGAGGTTAAAAAAAAAATTAGTGACGCATCATAACTAGATATTTGATACCTGATACTTTATATTTAACCAATATAAGTGGCCAATATAGAAAAAAATGAATCTCATAAATTAGAAACAAACAGGCCTGCGATGAGTTATAAAGAGGTGAGCAGAGTCTAATTTTTTTTTATTCGCGGCCGGCCAATGAGTTCACGGTGACTATATATAAAAATTCAAGTCCGTTCACGCAAACCGTTAAAATAATTCGACCCGACCCACCCACTCGTGAAGGGCATTATTTTAGATTCACGCCTGAAAATTCGCGGTCTTTTTTAAATTTTTCCAAAACTTTATCGCTATATTAATTTTAAACTTTTTTCAATTTATTCTATTTATTTCTCTAATTCCATAATCCATATGAATAAACAAAAATTAGATACAATTTTATAAAAATCGAAATTTTTATTTTAGAACCATCTTTTTTTATTTCAATTGCGCAAGCCTTTCCTCCCAATAAGTGATTGGCTATAGAAAATAACCATTCACTGGAAGTCCAACTTGCCGGGGGCTGACAGAATTTTACTAACTAATTTTCTCTGAAAAGGAAATGAATTTTCCTGCTTTCCAAAACTTCAAAATATTGTAATTTGATATATGAGCTATGAACCTTTTACGTTCATCCTCACAAATTTCATCGGTATATGTTGAAGCTTCATCAGAATCATCTAGAAATTCTCTAAATGTCTCATTTAGAATATACAGTATTTTTTATGAATGTAGGATGAATTAGGAAAGTTATATTATGATAGTAGGCATTGACTTACTGCATATAATCTAATTTTATATCATTCAGCATTTTTAATGTTGTTATATATATATATATCTTCCTATTCTTCTTCTATATTAAAAACTTGAGGCTTTTGAAATTCGGATCTGGAATAAAGCCTACCTTATGTAGTGAATTTATGTTCACGCCTGGGAAAAATTTTGGGAAAGCCCGTTACACCTAATAAATAAAAGTTCATTCACGCTCAGTGTGACGCACACGCACAGCGATACAATGCAGGGATCCAAACCGAAACGAATATAGGTTCGGATAAAAATAACGGTTCAAGGTTCAGGTTCGGTTCGCAAAAAATAAAAATATCGGTTTGGTTCGAACCTCTAAAAACCGGTTTGAACACATTTGTATTCATACCTACATTAGGATTATGTATCAGGAAAAAAATTTTTTTATTTCATAATTAAAATAAAAACCTACATTTTTATTAATTGCACAAATATAACAAATAAATATATCAATGATTAATTTAAATATGAACAATTACTTAAATTTTTTTTACTAAGCTGCACAATTAATATATTTTCAAAATTCTCTCACTCAAATTACATCTATAAGGAGATAATATAAATTTAATTGTTGAAAAACATCCTTCCACACTAACTTGGGTAGCTGGCATTGCCAGTATGATATCAGATTTGAAGTGTCATTTATAATACTATATGTAAATAATTTATATATTAGATTAAATTTTTTTCTAGCCATTATAATTTATAAGCTTAAAATATTGCAAAATGGCAATATATGACTGAGGTTTATCAATCAAATGTGATTGATAATAATTTTTAAAACAATTTGAATATAATTAAAATTTTTGCAATATACTACTAGTAATAACTTACACATTATTTTATAAGCATAAAATTATGAGACTCGAACCGGTTCAGAGGTATTTTAGCAGTTCGGTTCAGGTTCTGCTAGGAATTTTTTAGAGGTTTAGGTTCAATAAAAAATACAGGTTTTTAGCAGTTTAACGGTTCGGGTTGGATCCCTTATACAATGGGTCATGTATTATTTCATGGTCCGCGACCACCTCTACTATGAATCGGAAAAAAAAACAATATGAAAGTAGATTAGATTCCACTATGATTGGGAGACATTTTTATGACTTAAATTGATGATAAAAAAATATGAAGAAGGAGGGTGAGAGGGGGTGTGGAGATATTAGGGAAAAGCATATAAAAGATTATGTTTTGAGATCATAGGCTATAAATTGTTTAAGGCACATGGTTGGGGTAGAAAATGTGCAATTTAATAAAACTTCAGTAAACACTATATATAATTTAATAGTCTTACAAAGCTGGCCTGAGACCTAAACATAGAGTACAGTCAAACCGTAACATCATCAATAAAATATAGGTCTAGCCCAGACCAAACAGATTGTTATAACTCCATTTTTTGTAAATTAAGAAATATTTATTTTTATTTTGTAAAGAATCGAATAAAACAAGCATCATAAAATCATCAGAAGATATTGTTTTAAATTTTAATACATGGCATTTAAATGAACAGTTTTGGTCTAAGATATATTTCCAATATCCCAAAAAAAAACACTAAGCTATAGGCCATGTTGGGTCTTGGCGTAAAAATATTTTACAACTGGGATTTGGGCAGGCTAAAGTTAAAAGCAAAAATTGTTTGGCAGATATCTATGTCATAATATATAGAGGAATTTACCAAAATTCTGGATTCCATTTATATATAATGATGGAATCTATTTTACATTAATATAATCTCATTTTAATTTCTCCATCATGCTGTCAATTTTATCACCCTATCCTTCCCTCCTAATAATGTACACTTTTTGTGAGAAAAAAATATAAGTTTTGCATTTGAGCATAATAAATTTAACCACCCATCATTTAATATTATTTGTCCTTATTCAAGAATTTTAATTACAAATTTACAATTTCTTAAGTTTTTATATATTTTCTTACTTGTCTAAAAAAAGATTTCTAAATTATTAGTCTATCAAATAGTAAAAGTTTCCGTTTATTTTATTTTTAAATGCCTCCTCTAAAAATTCCTAAAGAAATCATAAAAAAAATGAATTATTTTAACAAATTATAAATTATCTTAAATATCAATATCAGTAGAGTTTCTTCTAAATTAAAAAAATATAAGTTTTTAAAATTTTGAAAACAGAAATTATAAAAAGGGAGCATTTTTTTTTTCAGAAAAGAATTATTTAAAATATAATTACATGTACAATAGTATAAAATGAAACTTGTAATATGCTAATGTAATACAGATTTATAATATATGCATTTTAGCATAAACGATAATTTTTTTTTAAATGCAACTTCATAAAAAATATACAACCAATAACTTTTATTAAAATCCAAATAATTCCAATGGAATAAACAATAAATTTAAATTAAATTAAATTGATTAAATTAAAGTAGGATAACATAACTCTAATTTATATGTTCTTTATATATTTTCAGTTGATAAAAAATTAAATACCTGAGAAGCCAAAATACCACTGCTAAAAATTGCTCCCATTCTATTGTTTTATTATATATTTAAAAGATGATAACATCAATTAACATCTGTCATTAGCATAGACAAGTGATGGGCAACGGGCAGAGAATTTTCTAATGATATGGATATATGTTACTTTAAAAATATATTTAAAAAAAGATTAATAAATTAATTAGAATACAAATATTTTCAGCGTATTTTCCCCACGTTATCTGTTTTATTTTATCTAAGGATCTCCGCCTTAATATGATAGTTTTCATGAATAAATTTAAAGAAGAAAGGGGTGAGTAGGGCTGATGTTATTACGAAAATTTGTTTTTATATTATATTAAACTTGAACACTATATTATAGTTTTAATGTAAATTTTTTGAATCTGATATTTCAAGTTTATTGACATATAGACATAACTAGAATTTTTCTAAAGGGCGAGGGGGGGGGGGCACTTTTAGGTAGGGAACTCTATAGTTGTATTGGAAGTCGGTGCACTAATTATTGAACCTTGCCTAAAATTTTATTGGAAGTCGACACTCTAATTATAGATTCTATATTTCAAATCATTTTTTATTTTAAAAAAATATATATCCGATTTGTAAAGAAGAGTTGCCTGAAGCCAGGGGGTTAGAATTGAATATATTATTTATTAACTCTTGCATCATTCTTTTAATGTTTTGTTCGTATTCTTTTATAAGATTTTTAAACGCGAAAGCACTTGATGTTTTTAAACAATCTTAAATTTGCTTACTAAAGGAACATTTTTGAGTATTAAATAAGCTTGATGGATTGGTTATATTTTATGTAATTTATTTAATTTATTTCGTGATAGACAAACATACTCAATTAAATACAAATAATAATAAGAAGAATCGATTAAATACAAATAATAATACTAATCGATTAACATATAATAATAACAATTATAATAATGATTCAACACCAACAATATACAGAATATATTCTAACCTCTAAAACACATGTATTTCTTTCCAAGAATACAATTGGTTATGTTAAATTCACATATTTTTAAAAATATTTTTTGTGAAATGATAGCTGATTAGATCTATCAGCATCATATCTTATATAAAGTTTTAATTTTTAGAATTTATTTACCTATTTCTTGGATATCACAACCAAAAGATTTGAAAAAAAAGGTAATAAAGATTTGAAGTATTGAGCCTTAATTGGTATACATATCATGTCCATGTTTAATTGAGAATGCGCAATTGTATGAAGGGTTTAAATGGTGCACTAATAAATATTATTATTTAGATATATATATCATAAAAGAATTAAAAAATTTTTCTAAATGTACCCTTAATTACTATACAAAACAGTTATAGCCTTTCCCTTTTAGCCTTAGGTCAATGTTTCCCTAGTCCCTTATTTATCTACCCTCGAAAAAAATGATTTTAAGCATTTTGATTTAATTGAAAACAATCATAACAATAAAAATTTGAATAGAATTAATGTCACCAGATGCTCAAGATTTATCCAAGGATATATACAATAAAGCTGTTACATATTCGTAACGATATATATTTTTATTGTGATAATATACCTTTTTATTTTAGATAATGAAGGTTTAAGGCAATCGTGTGATATGTATTAAATTAAAAACGTTATTTTATATGATATATATTTTACATAATTGATTTACTTTGGATATAAAAACTGAAGGGCAAACTATGAAAACTCATAATTCTTTTAAATCATATGCTCAATTTATTATATTAATTTACTATATATTTATTTATATTATTTAAATATATTATTATTTATCCTTAAAAGATATACTAACAAATGTGATTATTTTTTAAATTGACATATTAATGAAATTTACACTAATATATAAATTAATTCGAATAAAAAATACTTATATTAAAAAAAAAGAGATTTTATATTATAAAAAACAATCAGTTTATTTTACATCATTAAATTTGATATTTAATAAAAAACTTTATTCACATTCTAAAATATTATCATCATATTACCGATGACAAGACAGACTACTAGCGAGTCCATTCTCAGGGCAAGAGCTTCCCCGCTTGTCTTTAAAAGCCATTTTTATTAAGGAATAAAATAATTTTATCATAAATTTTATAAAAAAATTTTTAAAATTCCTACTCAATTTCAAATAAAGAAATATAATCGAAATCAAGGATCCATATCCAACCTACGCTTTGGCTAGGAAAAATTTATGTATATAACTATTTTTTTATAATATTTTTGGCAATTCTATTTATTTTTATCTTTATTTGTAAATGTATATTATATTTTCTTATGCATCCTATATAGTTAAATAAATTTAATTTCAAAAATAATATTGCTGCATTTATCACAAGTTAATTATAAAATATATATTGAGAATAAATTTATTGCAAATTTGTTTGTGTACACAATTATTTTTATTTCAATTAAATGCCTATTTTATTTAGGTTAGTGTTAAAGATTTTCTGGTGATTGAATTGAAAGTTTAAGGATACTTGTTAGTTGCTAATTCATTTTGATAATCATTTCTTAATATTCACTTGTTTTTAATTGATATATTCAGAGGAAGTCTTAATCATTGTCAATGATATATTATAAAAAATTATTCTAGCAATAGTACAATATTAATTATGAAGAATGGAAATGTAGTGAAAATGTTTTACTGAATTACTTTAAAAAACATATACATTATACATCAAATTTTATTTTAAGATACTTACTTATATTTTGTGTCAACTTTCTTGATTTATTGTATTAATATATATTGATCTTAATTGTATATAAGTGCTAAATAAATATCAAACAGTTTGTCATAAATGAGTGACATATTTGATAATATTTATTGCGTGAACATTAATAAATAAATTGTGCCGGTTCATTATTAGACCGTATTTTAATATTTTGTTTTATTTTATTTTTAGATATAAAAATTAAGTTTTGTTGAATCATAATGAAATTGTATTTTATGCGCTTCCCTATAAAAGGGAAGCGAAATATTGTAAAAATTATTATTAACTATTTTATTTTTGTTTTTAATATATTTTTTTTTGGTTGTAATAGTAAATTTTGAAATAAAATTATTCATTTTTTTGTGTGGGAAATTCAATAAAATTATTATACTCGGAGTTTTGCTTTCTATTCGGACTTATACGGCACAACGTGATAGTTGGTGCCGTGACCAAAAAAATAAAGTAAAAACAATTATTTTTATAAATTATTTTTGGGAAAACATTTTTGTGGAGCGTTGTGGTGGATAAGATCGTCAATTTGAAGAACCGTCAAGAACAAGTACCGTCAAGAGCAAGTACCGTCAAGAGCAAGTACCGTCAAGAACAAGTACCGTCAAGGACAAGTACCGTGTATAATAAGGGACCGTTTGGGTTGAAAGACCGTCAAGAACAAGTACCGTCAAAAGAGGTGACTGTGGAGTGAAAATTTTCAAAAGACGTAAAGTACACGGAAGTGCTGCCCAAATTTTTGCCGATATAAATCTATTAGACGAAAATCGAAAATTTACTAAAAAAGTAGAGTACACGGAAGTGCTGCCCAAATTTTTGGTTATATAAATCTATTAGACGAAAATCGAAAATTTACTGAAAAAGTAGAGTACACGGAAGTGCTGCCCAAATTTTTGTCTATATAAATCTATTAGAAGAAATTCCAAAAAAGTTTATTAGAAAGCAAGTTACACGAAAGTGCTGCCGATTTTTTTTTTCAAAAGACGTCAATACACGTAAGAGATTAAAGATTAGCGGAAGGTATTGATTTTTTTTTGAAATTGATAAATGTATATGTGTATTATTGGAGTTTTTACCTTATTGATTTTATCTTATTGTCTGACATTACAAGTAGTTAAGATATTTTTGGTGAAATTAATTATTAATTTTTTGTGAATATTTTATAAAATTTAGTGTTGTTAGAGAAATAAATTAGGAAAAATTTAAATACTTAAATATTTTAATGAAGGGTTTTAAAATTACAAAATATGTGGAGTTGCAATATAATGTATTGGGAGCGGTGGTAGTGTTGATGATATGGTTGTGTAGTTTATATTTTGGAAGGAGAATGCGAAGAGAAAGGAGTATTAGGATTCGTGGGCAATCGTTGTTGGTAGAGGGGCATAATGGAGAGGATGATAGGTTGGGGAGAGTGACGTGGTTACCGGTTCAAGAAATAATGAAGGGTTGGGTCAATAATGAAGAAATTGACCGGTTAAAGAACGAGAGGATAGATGACAGACATTTGGATGTATACCGTGGACGTCAAGATATGCCAAGGCCGTTCAACAGTGGGGGACAGAGAGGTCGGAATGGTAGATGTTATAAATGTGGGGAGATGGGTCATATTGCGGTGAATTGTAGAGGTGTCAAATGTTTTGCGTGTGGGGAGATGGGACATATTTCGACATATTGTCCGGGCAGAGCAGAGAGAATACGTTGCACGGGTTGTGGAAGATTTGGACATGTGTTAAAGGATTGCCGAGTGGGAAAGGTGGAAACAAGGGCAGGTTTTCCACAGAGAGGAGAGTCGTCGGGGGTCGTGAATATGAGGAGTATGACGGAGATAGTTGGAAAAGAAGGAAAGGATATTGGAGAGGAGATGACGTGTTTCAAGTGCCGAGAAAGGGGACATTGGGCCAGAGATTGTAATAAAGATTGACTATATGATGGGAAGGAGAGTAAAATAATGACCGTGGCGTTAGGAGGAGGCAAGAAAGAGTTGAGAGTTAAAATGTTGCAGCAGGAGGTTCAAAGGGAGTTAATGTATCTGCCGAGTCCAAGGGTATGGTTCGATATCAACGGGAAGATGGTATCTATGTTATTTGATACCGGAGCAGCTATTTCGGTGATGGGATATGAGGATTTTAGAAGACTTTGGCCGGGTAGTAATATAATTAGAGACGTTATGCAAGTAAGGCAGTTTGATGGATCGGAGATGGAGATGATGGGAAGAGTGCATATTGGGGAGGTAGGAAGAGAAGGATGTAAAATGTTGGACTTATGGATAATTAACCGAGACGTTGAGCCGGTGATGGGATGGGATTGGATTACAAATGTAGGGCCGAGGTATGGATTCTGGGGAGTATTTGCCCGATGGGGAGTATTTG